TTTATCCATAACAGAACTATGTAATACTGCACCCCTACAATATAAAATGGAATGCACCATTTATCCATATCAGAACTATGTAATACTGCACCCCTACAATATAAAATGGAATGCACCATTTATCCATATCAGAACTATGAAATACTGCACCCCTACAATATAAAATGGAATGCACCATTTATCCATAACAAAACTATGTAATACTGCACCCCTAAAATATAAAATGGAATGCACCATTTATTCACATCAGAACTATGTAATACTGCACCCCTACAATATAAAATGGAATGCACCATTTATCCATATCAGAACTATGTAATACTGCACCCCTACAATATAAAATGGAATGCACCATTTATTCATATCAGAACTATGTAATACTGCACCCCTACAATATAAAATGGAATGCACCATTTATCCATATCAGAACCCCTACAATATAAAATGGAATGCACCATTTATCCATAACAGAACTATGAAATACTGCACCCCTACAATATAAAATGGAATGCACCATTTATCCATATAAGAACTATGTAATACTGCACCCCTACAATATACAATGGAATGCACCATTTATCCATAACAGAACTATGTAATACTGCACCCCTAAAATATAAAATGGAATGCACCATTTATCCATATAAGAACTATGTAATACTGCACCCCTACAATATAAAATGGAATGCACCATTTATCCATAACAGAACTATGTAATACTGCACCCCTAAAATATAAAATGGAATGCACCATTTATCAAACATGAAATACTACACCCCTACAATATATGAAAGTTACAATACCGTCTTTGAAGAGTTGGTTTCATTTTTGGCATTGGTTCTGGGTTTATCTGTTTACGAATTTTTCTTAAGTTCTGCTGGTCCCCTAAGCCATGGATTGCCGATAGCCAGGTCCCATAGTGCAAACCGCCTCCCTATAAATTACATTGCAAATCAGTGACAGTGAATCTACTCCTGAATTATTATAATGTACATAATTATAATGTGGTCATTTGACAATCATCCACTGTTATTTCTGTGTGGAATTGTTAATCATGTGAATATCATCCACTGTTATTTCTGTGTGGAATTGTTAATCATGTGAATATCATCCACTGTTATTTCTGTGTGGAATAGTTAAGCATGTGAATGTCATCCATATATTTGTGTATCAAATAGTTAATTATGTGAATATCATCCATATATTTGTGTGTGGAATAGTTAATTATGTGAACATCATCCATATATTTATGCACGGAATAGTTAATTATGTGAATATCATCCATATATTTCTGTGTGGAATAGTTAATTATGTGAACATCATCCATATATTTATGCACGGAATAGTTAATTATGTGAATATCATCCATATACTTTGTGTGGAATAGTTAATTATGTGAATATCATCCATATATTTGTGTGTGGAATAGTTAATTATGTGAATATCATCCATATATTTGTGTGTGGAATAGTTAATTATGTGAATATCATCCATATATTTGTGTGTGGAATAGTTAATTATGTGAACATCATCCATATATTTATGTATGGAATAGTTAAGTATGTGAATATCATCCATATATTCATGTATGGAATAGTTAATTATGTGAACATCATCCATATATTAGTGTATGGAATAGTTAATTATGTGAACGTCACCCGTATATTTGTGTATGGAATAGTTAATTATGTGAACGTCATCCATATACTTGTGTATGGAATAGTTAATTATGTGTACACCGTCCATATACTTGTGTATGGAATAGTTAATTATGTGAATATCATCCACATGTGTGTGGAATAGTTAATTATGTGAATATCATCCATATACTTGTGTATGGAATAGTTAATTATGTGACTATCATCCATATATTTGTGTATGGAATAGTTAATTATGTGAATGTCATCCATATATTTGTGTATGGAATTAATAATTATGTAAATACCATCCATATACTTGTGTATGGAATAGTTAATTATGTGACTATCATCCATATATTTGTGTATGGAATAATTAATTATGTGAATATCATCCATATATTTGTGTATGGAATAATTAATTATGTGAATATCATCCATATATTTGTGTATGGAATAATTAATTATGTGAATATCATCCATATATTTGTGTGTGGAATAGTTAATTATGTGAATATCATCCATATATTTGTGTATGGAATAGTTAATTATGTGAATATCATCCATATATTTGTGTATGGAATAGTTAATTATGTGAATATCATCCATATATTTGTGTGTGGAATAATTAATTATGTGAATATCATCCATATATTTGTGTATGGAATAATTAATTATGTGAATATCACCCATATTCTTGTGTATGGAATAGTTAATTATGTGAATATCATCCATATATTCCAAAGCAATGACAAAGTGATTTGACAAAAACAGATTGGACAGAGTGGTCATGTGGTAATCTATGGTTTCTATGTGAGCACAGTGATTATATGACTACCACCCACATATTTCTATTTATACATGTATGATCAGAGAACTCAATCGCAAGACAGTCATCCATAGATTTTTGTGTTTGGCAGGATGGTCATGTGACAATCATCTTGATGGATTTCTATTCATATGGTCATGTGATATCTTTTGACTGCCATCTATGTGGTTTGAATGTTCATGTGACAATTCCGATGGATTTTATTCAAGAAATATATTACATTCACAGTATGTTGTTTACCTTTGGTCCATTGTTGAATGTCACGTAACTTTCTACAGAATTTAATTCACCTTTAATAAATATAAACAAATAAACATAACATTAATTAACTGCCTTGTACTAGTTAAATTTTCCAAAATTGTGTACCAGATACCAGGGCAGGAAACTTTTCAAATATTTTAAAATACTTTCCATTTCCATCCTGTGTAAGCACCACGTAAACTCAACATTCTGCTAACACACACAATGCATGAATTAAATTTTCAATTTTATAATGTTGGGATCTTTGTATCATCCACCCATCCAAGGAGAATGACGTTCAATTGTATCCAATAATATTATTAATTAAAATTGCATTTAAAATTTGTCATTGAAACAGACCATGATGAAACAAGTAATTGCATTATATAGTCCTTGTGAGTTCTCAAGTTTAAGGAATATATAGAGATATGGCTTTAAAACTGTTTTCATTAAAACAAAATGGCTGCCAGTCGACCATTTTGAGTCCAATCTAAAAACTTGTCGTGCATTAAGGTTCCATAAAGTTCAATGTACATACCAAGTCTGAACAAAATCTGTCTGGTCATGTATGACTGAGAACCAGATCCGGAATAGCAGAAATGATTGATTTTGACGAATGTATGGACATTAAAACAGCTGCAATTCAGCCATCTTGAATCAGATAACCAAATGAATAAATATGCACATGTGTGACATGATGTAATGATAAATATAAAGTTTGAATATTATCGGTCAGGACATGTACGTCAGAGATAAAGACATGTATAGGGGACCCATATTGTCTTATGTTTGTACCAAATTTAAACAAAATCTGTTCATACACAATTGTGGTCTGGTTCTGGAATGGCAGAAATGCAGGATTTTGAGAAATTTTCAGTACAAAAATTGACACCATTCGGCCACCTTGAATCGGATGATGAAACAAATGGACATATGTTGTCCAAGGTGTGTCATGTACTTCTAAAGTTTGAATATGATCAGACTAGGTGGAGACGCATGGAACATGCAAGCACAGAGGTCAAAACATAATTCCAAGTTTTCAGACTGAATCCAAACATTTTTTGTATGTCAAAGTGTATATAATGTTATTTTCTTTAACCAATTAGAATAAAAGTGCTTGATATGGTATATAATGTTATTTTCTTTAACCAATTAGAATAAAGGTGCTTGATATGGTATATAATTATTAACACACAGTGATTTTTGTATGAGTGAGAGATTCATTGGGTCCACCTGATATTATGATCTATATGATTTAAAACATGCAAGGTCAATCAATCAGAAACACACTATTGTCTGCACACCTGGGAATTGCTGTTGTATGAAATTAGTCCCAATATCAGCTGGTACACTGTCAAAACCACATGTTCCAATCACAAAGACGCTGTTCTCTCTGGCTTTGCTGTCATATTTCAGCTGCATTGTCTCTAAAAACTATGAATTAAAAAATAAAGTAATCACTGAGGCATTGTAAATTGGAAAGATCTTGAAATTAGATTGCAAACAAAATATGTTGTGAATAGTTTAAACATTGATAGTGTTATACAATACAATGTAAGTATTGATTTTTCCCTGATATTTCATTTAGATCCAAATAATTCCGAACAATGTTTTAGGCAGCATCCAAAATTAAAGAAAGCTTAGAAAGAACTTCTGTGTTAATTCAAAATTTAAGATTTGCATTTCAAATGAGAAGCTTAAGCAACTAATATTTGTCTGCTATTTGTAATGCACAACATGAAAACAATTTGATTTACATTATCAAAATTTATAATACATACAGAAAATACATGGATTTTTCATCCATGGTTTTTAGTCTAATTAATTAAGAGTACCTGTGTGATGAAGTCAATTTAAATCTGATTTTGTAAGATATCAGGAATAGGCTAATAATAGATAAACAATATGCATGTTTATCAACATTAAACTAATCACATCTGTGGACTACCTCAATGAACCAAATGAAACATTATACAAATTAAGCAATTATTATGCATAGATTTAAGTCTGTATATTTTTTCAGAACGCACATGTACAAAGTTTCATTACAATGTGATAAACAATCCTAACTAAATTAGTGGAAAGCTGAAAAGTAAATTATTATGCAAATTATTATAGATGTATATACCGTACTTCCCCGAGTATAAGCCCCTCCCCGAGTATAAGCCCACCCCTCTGTTTTTGGACATTTAACGAGTTGAGGGCATCCTTGAGTATCCTTGGCCCAGGGTGTTTTTACCGGGCGTTGACGACATTTGTTAAAATATGCATGTAAAAAGTGTATTTCATTGCATAAAAATCATGATTGGTACGGTAGTTTGGTTCCCACTTTAATGAGAAATTAATTCAGAGTGCACGGCGGGCGAACGTACAAAGTTCGCATGTTTTCTATTCTGTTATTTACTCGGGATGAACCCCGATGTTGCAATACTGAAATAATCCATATTTCTTTTGAGTAGTAGTTTTACAAACGGCAAAAATGTGATCGTCAAGTCGTGAAACCTGGTCACTATCATCGTTTTACTTTTCCGAGTAACCTTGTCCATTGAGACTATCGTGAATGGAGTGTGAACGAGCAAACTATTCTTCGACATGACTTGTTGGCAGCCACGAAAGGTTTAAATACTTCCCTCACCCTCAGTTTACCTTTCGAAAATTGCGAATCAACAACTTTTAGGGAGAAAAGGTCAGTTTTTTGTCAAAATCAGTGTTAACAGATCGTATTTTAACATCGCGGTAATACACTTCCGCATTGCGTTGATAAAAATACTTTGTCAATAATCGGAATACTTCGACTGTATGACAGAGCATTTTCATTGGTTAACGAAAGACGTGGCCTGTTAGGTCAAAGAAAGTTGTTCAGGTCAAATTATGATGAAACCATGGCGGAAATAGCTTTGTATCGAGAGTTTGCGTACGATCTTGCCTTCGACCATTTTCCCACAGACCCTGCCCATTTTTGCACCGTAAATTCAGACGGTATGTGAACCGTAATGTAATAACATTTTTGTTTTTTGTTCATATTTGTTTCTTCATTGTAAAAAGCGTCGTTGACTCAATGAAGACTCGTTTTGAATTTTTGTTTTCTCAAAAAGACGCAATATTCCTCCGAGACCGGCACTGTGAACGAAAAATGTAATTTGGATAATGTTTCTAGGCTGGGAAGATGGTTACAGTTTTAAACGCACCCAAAAATTATTTTTTCTGAGGTGGTCCTCGAGTATAAGCCCACCCTTTATTTTTTCCGATTTTACATGTTCAGGCCCCTGGGCTTATACTCTGGAAAGTACGGTAAACCTAAAACTAATTAGATCGTCACATTATGTTAGAGTATATATGTAGTTGAAAATTTGCTAATTATGCAAATTAGGTAATCAATATGCACTGATTTTAACCCAAAACTAATCTGGTCTGTGCATTGTGCTAGAACGTCTATGTACCAGGATTCATTCAAATGGGATAATTTGTACTTGCGATATCAGTCTAAAAGCTGAAAAATAACTAATTATGCAAATTAGTTGAGTAATATGCACACATTTTTACCCAAAATTAATCAGGTCTCTGCATTGTTCTAGAAAATCCATGTACCAAGTTTCATTGAAAATAATGAGGTGATAGTACTTGAAATATCAAAAGCTGAAAATTGATTAATTATGCAAATTAGGTAATTAATATTTCATATTGTGCATTGTCCTATGTATCTATGCAAGTTTTATTGAAATGTGGTGATTAGTAGCTGAGATATCAGTAGAAAAGCCGAAAATGTATTAATCATTATGCAAATTAGGTTAATAATATGAATGGATTTTTACCCAAAACTAATCACATCTGTGCATTAGTCCAGAGCATCTATGTACAAAGTTTTATCAAAATTTAATGAATGGCTCTTTAGATATCAGTGGAACAGTCATGAAACAGCTAACAATTAGCTAATTATCATGCAAATTAGGTAATTAATATGCATAGTTTTTTACCAAAACCTTATCAAATCAGCACATTGGGCCAGAGCATCTATGTGGTTCTTGAGATAACGGTGGAACAAAAAAAGTGACATACATACATACAGACAATTTGTGCTTCGCACACGAGTCAAAAATGTTAGCTTACCTGTGGTTCACCACTGATATCAATATGATGGCATCCATTCTCAACACACGACTTCACAACTTGCTCCCCCCAGAAACGATACTGAAATACATAAAAGTTTCATAAGAATTCAAAAGTAAATTAACTGTAAATTAGCTACTACACGATTCAATCTATAAACAAAAATTAAATGTATTCTTTTTGAAAAAATTTATATCTTTTTATTTTGCACTATGTTTTATCAAATAAATAAATATAAATAAATAAATATTATGGTAGAAATAAAAAAAAAGAATTTTTTTATGGCAGCAGGGCATTTGTATGAGAAACAAAATATTGACATGTGGACAATCCAGCGTATCTAGGTAACAGCACTAACAGTTACAGTTTCTGTAGATTTTTCATTACCATAAAGGCTCCGTTAGTAGAGCCAAAATTTACATAAATGAGTGAAATTTTTGGTTTATATGCAATTCTACTTCTAACAAGCTACCTGTGCTAAGCTATGACCATTATCATGGCAACAGAATAACAGAACTATTCTTTTTTCAAATTTGGTCAGGTTTGACAAAACATTTAATAACCAGTTCCCCTCCCCCCATCCAAAATAACAGAAAAGTTAAAAACTGCAAGGTCAACTTTTTCAGTATTGAAAAAAAGATATCAAAAAACCAAATAGTAACTTTATGCTCACACAAGTTTTTTTACCCAAGGTTTGTAGGAAGAGATACATTTTGCGAGAAGGTATTAAAAAACTATTTTTTTGGGTGCTACTATGTCAACAATGGGCCAGGAATTTTGTCAGATTTTACGAGAGTGAATGTGTGAACAAAATTAGGCCAGCCATAAAAAATCAAAGATGAATTAATATGTGAAGACATCACACACAAAAGTCACATGAGTCAACACACTTACATCTGAGGACATGAAGTCACATGAGTCAACACACTTACATCTGAGGACATGAAGCCACATGAGTCAACACACTTACATCTGAGGACATGAAGTCACATGAGTCAACACACTTACATCTGAGGACATGAAGTCACATGAGTCAACACACTTACATCTGAGGACATGAAGTCGCATGAGTCAACACACATACATCTGAGGACATGAAGTCACATGAGTCAACACACTTACATCTGAGGACATGAAGTCGCATGAGTCAACACACATACATCTGAGGACATGAAGTCACATGAGTCAACACACTTACATCTGAGGACATGAAGTCGCATGAGTCAACACACTTACATCTGAGGACATGAAGTCACATGAGTCAACACACTTACATCTGAGGACATGAAGTCGCATGAGTCAACACACATACATCTGAGGACATGAAGTCACATGAGTCAACACACTTACATCTGAGGACATGAAGTCACACGAGTCAACACACTTACATCTGAGGACATGAAGTCACATGAGTCAACACACATACATCTGAGGGCATAAAGTCACATGAGTCAACACACTTGCATCTGAGGGCATGAAGTCACACGAGTCAACACACTTACATCTGAGGGCATAAAGTCACATGAGTCAACACACTTGCATCTGAGGACATGAAGTCACATGAGTCAACACACTTACATCTAAGGGCATGAAGTCACACGAGTCAACACACTTACATCTGAGGGCATGAAGTCACATGAGTCAACACACTTACATCTGAGGACATGAAGTCACATGAGTCAACACACTTACATCTGAGGACATGAAGTCACATGAGTCAACACACTTACATCTGAGGACATGAAGTCACATGAGTCAACACACTTACATCTGAGGACATGAAGTCACATGAGTCAACACACTTACATCTGAGGACATGAAGTCACATGAGTCAACACACTTACATCTGAGGACATGAAGAGTAACTATACTTACAGGACCAACACAGTTTAATACCAGTTTGGTTTGCTTACACATAGATTCCAAGGATTCTTCATCAGCTACATCAGCTATAATCACGTCAATATTAGACAGTGAATAACCTATGGAAATGAACAGCCAGCAGTGAGACGGGACAGGACTGCACAAAACCATCAAGCATTGACAATGCTTATCCTCCTTTCTCAACGCCAAAGTTGAAATTTATTACCCATAAAAACAATAATTAGTATAGTAATTGTCCATCAGTAGATCCAGGAGAGTGGGTGTAGTTTTTCTGATGTGATCAGTATTTAGTGGCAACAGACTCTGTGGCCATGCATATTTGATTGAATAGCTAAAGTAATATGCAACCAAAATCCAGTTTATAGAACCATCATCTGGTAAATTCAAAGTACATTGCACTGGCGGAATAATTAGATTTAACATAATCATGGAAGCAATCTCAGAGAAGTTTAACTATTTTTCAAAAATAGTTGAAAATTAGATAAAAGTTGTAAAGTAAAAGGGGTTTATTTTGACCAATATTTGAGTTCATTCACACCAATGACATTGCTAGGAATCATGGGAAATAAGATTGCCCATCGATTGGTGAATTTATATCTATTGCACCAATCAGTGAACGGCAATCATGATTCATCGTACAAAGTTGGCGTCATTAATGACGTAAATCAACTAAAATCAGTCAAAATACATCCTTTTACTTTTTTTAACATTAATAAGTGAGTGAATTTAAAATTATGCATGTTTGTGGTAATACCAACAAAGCGTGTTGATGAAAAGGCATTTTTAAGGTAAAAAAAAATCTCTGAGTACTACAACTGAGTGGTGGAAATCGATAACCGGAAGTTGTGCAACTTTACATTGTTACATCACATACGATATCGATGCCTACATAGTATAATAGTCACCCCCAGCTGAGCGGGAGATATATAATAGCCGATACGAAGCACAATTAATATAAGGCCACGCCCACTAATTTGCTCACGCGAAACAGGGCGAAATGGTCCGTTAACCCATAGTCCGGACTTCGGGTGACCCAGAGTGTAATCTTTTGTGATCACCTTGATACTCGTGGAACATTCTGGAAGAATTATTAGTGATGTGCCCCTGGTTCTGGATGTTTCGTCTTACCTGTTACCGATTCTGCCTGCTTTAAAACATCATTCAGTTTCCCTTTACTGCGTCCAGCAATAGCCCACTTTATGTCTCGTTCTTCATCAGCAACTCTGGCTAACTCTTCAACTACAAACTGACCTGTAAAGCCACTTGCCCCGAAAATAACGACGTCAAACTTTCTTTCCACTGGAGCAGCCATGATCATTCAGAGCTCTGTGGCGCAATTCATTGGGTTTGTTGCGATTATAGCGCCCTCATACAGTTAGATTATCACCCCGATAGCGGGCGTGATTCCAACACTTACATAGAGTTCACCTGCATCGAGTTTAGGAATAATGCCAGTTTTAGTGCCCGGGTTCTAGCGACAATACACATTGACGTTAATTTGGGATTCTGTTCCACAAATGAAATGAATGTGAAAACAAAATAATATAATGAATCGGCTATTTTCTAACTATCTGATCTAATGGTGATTGATTTTTAGGGCAGAGGTGTCCCTAGACCAGAGTTCATGACTGTTCAGGCACGGATATTAAAGAGATTAGAGCTTCCCTCTGGTTCTGTACGGAGCCGTGGTGGAGCGTAAACAGTATTAAAAAGGTCGCAAGGAAGCTCCACTGGCAGTCCCGAACTCGTGGTCAAGGCGCTCATCAAAATAAAACTTTTTACTGTTCATTATCATATACTGCTCGTTGGCATACAAATCAGATGAACTGTTTAATTTACATTTCCCAGCGAATTGTGTTGGCAATTCACATGGTAGGTTTTATGACATGCATTTTATTTGGAAACATAATAAGCAGCTTTACGACACTTCTTGGTTGTATTCACTGTCATTGCTATGTTCTTTAGATAATCCAGTGTTTTGTTTTGATCAAACGTCGTTATAAACAGTGAGTTTTGAACTGATAGTTCTATCGACCTGACTTGACGATACGTTAATCTATTTGGTCGCAGTCTTTCTATGGGAGAGGAACGAATTTAGTGTAATTATATTGGAACATTAGAAAAAATTATCAAGCGAGTACTCAAAAAGGTTTCTATAATTGTAGGTGAGAATTATGTACCCGTTCAACGCAATGTCATGGGATCACTAAAGAAGCCGGGTTTACCAGCTAAATGATTTGAAATCGCAAAGTACAAAGGGACAAATACAGAAAACCCTAAAAACTTATTGGGGGGATTAGCGTTAATCAGTTGATTATGGGATACATACATTGTATATATAATTTCTTTGATTTGTTTTTGTGTATTTAGCACTATTTAGAACTGTCCGAGAACTAACACAATGCGCGCATACAAACGAGTGCATGATGTAAGTGTCCAAAAATATAAACAAATGTTAATACTTGTCCGATAGTCGAGTGTATCATTTCATGTTTGAAGCGAAATAGAAATTATTGCAGAAAAAAAAAAACATTTTGCTAAACCTGTTCCTGGGCAGTTTCAGTCGGTATGGTGCGCCCTCTCTCCAAAAGTATTAGAAATTGGTAATGTTGTAGATCATACCTCAATCACGGTGCTTTTGTGCACACACGTGTTAGAAAACATACTCACATTACACAGACAACACAACGCAATTAAATAAAGTGGAAAGCTCACTGTTTTATTATGGAAGAAATAGAGGTACATGTAGTGAAAAAAAAGGAACGCCTAATAACCCAGTCTAATAGTGACAGTCTAAGGGAACTTTTTTTTAAAAATCTCTTAGAAGGAAAAGAATCATAGCCCAAAGTTGAACCATACAGGGTTTAATACGTTGTAGTGATATTAATATCACGAATAATCTAGTTTTGTATTCAAAGAGTAATATAACAGTGAGTAGTATAACTGAACTCCCCTCCCATATAATGCTGAGCATGGACATGTGGTACATGTCATGGTTGCCTAAAGCATGCTCTGCACCTTGTATACTTCTGACCAATCACAGGTCTTCTATAAATCTGCTCCTTGGATCATGAAACACGCATGCACAGCACACTCAGACAGGTTATTGTTTGTCCACAAATCAATTTTAAAAACAATATTTTTCCTCCCCAAAATTTTAAAATCCTATTTTTCTATATTTTTGGCTCATTTTGGCGAGTGAAGATACACACTTACATACAATTTACAAATAGATTTGTGTATTCTATTCAAGATTGCAAACTGGTGCACAGCTACATCAGTGTTTTTTTGATGTGTATTGCATGTCCACAACTTATGAAGCACCAAGCATGATAATACGAGATTATTACGAGGATACTGCAAAGTATG